CTAACAAAATTTAAAATCTATATACAATTAATATATTTGCTATTATCTTTTTTTAATTTATAAAAAAAGTTAGCTCTAACTTAGTAAACTTTAATGCTAACTATATAAACCTTATTTATTTAACAGCCATTAAACATCTATTATCAATTTTTTTAGTTTCAACAATCTTAATTTCTAACTCTTATATATTTGAAATATTCAAAACTAATAAAGCAACAAATATATTTAAACAATATTTGATTCTTAATAGCTTTCAACAATAATTTAACTTCTATACTGATGGCTTAAAAATTAATATTGAAACTGACCAATGTACAATAGGCATTAACTAGGTTTAAGTTAATAACAACAATTAAATTATTTACAAATTCTTAGCCAAAATACACTTTTGTCTATCATCTTATAAAGCAGAACTAATGATTATTCTTTTAGTTATCTCTTTATATTATAAAATACAATAATCAATATCTATACAAATTTTTAATCTATTATTATTAAATACTCTAACATCTATAATATATTTTTTAATCCTAACAAACTCTTAAATTTTTTTTTTTAAATATTAATAGTGAGAAAATTCTTTAAATTTAACATATAGCTTATATAATATATCTTATTAAATATTATTAAATCTTACAACCTACAGATTAACTTCTATAAAATGCAAGCTCATACTAATAATGATCTGAACAATCTTGTTGACTCTTTGCTAAACAATATAATCTTTTTTTTGATCTATATTTTAACTATATTAATATTTATAATTTATACTATATACTGTTTTAGGACCAATATTTAGAATATTCTACTAGAAATTTTATTAAAAATATTTGCAAAGCTTATATTTTAGCAATGTAGTCATCTTAAAAATGCAACTAAGAATAACTTATTTTAAAAATATATTAGCGATTCACTTTACTATATATTAACTATAACTAAAAAACTATATATAATATAACCAATATCAAATTTAATTATTCCAAATTCTTTAAAATCAAAATTTTACTAAATAAACTACATATATACTTTCTTTGTTATAAAACATATCTATATATATTTTATAATATAAACTGCTTTTATTGCAACCTACTTGGCATTCCAATATATAGATAAATATATCTTAATTTTATATTATTTATCAATATTATACAAGATATTATCATTAAATGCATTGGTCAAAACAACCTAAAACTTTCTAAATCTCGACAAGAAAAACTTATTTAAAAAATTCAAAATCATAAAACTTTTTATTGCATATTATCTAATAATAACTTTTATTATCTTAATATTATACTTAAAGGACTTATATCCAAATTTTTAATTCAAAATCTTAATTTTTTTACAAATTAGCATCATAAATTACTATTAAAATACTTCTTGAAATTAATAAGCTATATCACCGACTATTTTAAAAACACTATTATATAAACTTCTCAAATTAGAAAAAACAAGATCTTAAAATTTCTTTCTTTAAACATCTAACTCAAACCAATTATAATAAACAAACTAAATACAATTATCAAACATATATATATTCATATTTATATAAACTATCTGATCAAGTATATTCAAACTTCAATACATGTCTACCTATTAGTTATACTATTAGAAAAATTAATATATAAACTATTCTTTAATAGGTTTAGATTACAGATAAATATGTCTAAACTTTACTTTTGAATGTAGGTTTTTTTTTATTTATACTTAAGTTAGTTATATAGTTAATAGTTTAATGATTAACCCTAATTGCAAGTTTTGACCTTAACTATAGCATTTATATAGAATTATTTTTGTATATAATAACTCTATATAGTTACTAACTTTAAAACTACCAATAAAGATATAAGCAAGGCCTCATCTTAATACCAAAAAAAAATGATTGTAATTTATTAAACTAATTCAAAATTTTTTAAGATATGCAATAAATCTATAATATCTTATATTTTTTTATAAATTAATTATACTTATACATTTCTACAAATAGGTATTAACAATTTTTTATTTAATGCAGATATATTAAATAAGATTCAAAAAAAAATTAAGTTTAATATTTTTAAGTTAATTTTTTTATAAACCTTTAAACTATTATTTGATAAATTTACAAAACATAATGATAATTATTTTGAATTATTACTTTTTAAAACTGTATAATGCTTTAAATTTGTTTATTACTTAGCATTAAGACAAAATATTAAATATTATACTGTAATAAAATGTTTTAGGCTTTTAACTAACAATTTGTTAAATAAATAAAACATTTATTATAAATTAGATGAAAAATTAAGTGAAAATTTAAACTTGGATAAAAATTGAAAAGAAAAATTTAATAATTTGCTTTCTTTTTCAAAAATCTTGTTTCTAATATTGATGTGAAAAGAAGCTTCAATAATTATAAAAATATTCTAAGTAATAAATAACATAAACTTTTAGAAAACTCTTTATCTATATTAAATTTACTTTATTTTAATAAGGCTATCAATGAATAATTGATAAACAATTTTTTTACTGTAGTATTTTTTCGTAAAATTAAATTCATAATTATCACATCAATCGCTGATAACGTATATGTATGCACATAGTTCCTCGCATAAATATCGCACAATTTGAAATTATCACATCGCACCAAAATGCATAATCTGAAGTCTCTAACGTACGTAAGAATATGTAGTCCTATACCTGTTGCCGAAATACTTCGGCCATTTCAACAACATTGCAAATGCTTACAACTGTTCTCATAAATTCTGGAACAACTGATAAAATTTGATTGGTCGAATTCGATAAAGTTATCAATAATTTGTAAATGTAATAGAAATCAGGCTTCATATGTGTTAAGCCAGATCCGTAAAAGTTTATACAAGACCTTGGGTATTTTCGGCTATTGTCAGAAGAATTATATACTGCCGAAACTTCAAAGACCTAGCCGAAATTATTTCTGGTACCGTCGAAACTTCTAAAGAGTCTACTATAATTACTGAAGGTCAGCTTATTACTATTTGAGGACTAAATAAACTTTTTGTAGAATCTACAAGTGACTTTACTTTTAGAGTCCATAATGTGGCCGAAATGGAAAAAGATTTCGGCCACAGATTGAAATTGATAAGGTTAGAGTTTAGAATAAACGATTTTAGTCAGGCTGTTCCGATTATGATCGGTTGATTCCAATATGGGGTACAACATATACATTATTCTATAACCAAAAAAAAATATTAAACATAATATCTAATAGAAACAAAAACTTTATACGTAAGCATATTTCATGATATAATAAAAATTGATCAAACCAATTAAATCAAAAGTTTAATATTTATAGAAATAAAAAATCTAATGTGTGTATAAACAGAAATCGTTATTGTTTTAATTTTTATAGTAAGGATTGTTTAAGTTTAGTAATATCTTTTTATTTATTTATAATCAATTTCAGAACATTAATAAGTGATCACAAACGATGGTGATTTAAAAGGTAATTGTGGAATATTTCAAATTCATCGGATGAGCAAATATTTATGATCATGAATCATTTAAGAGATCATTCTTTGAATTATATGCTTGCGTTTTTATTTTTTACCTGGGTGTGTTGAAAAATAAATATATAATAATTTTCAATAACATGTTTAAGGTTACACAGCCTAAAATTTCATCTTTCAAACAAAAGTTTTACCGAAAAAGAAACTCATGCATGCATGATAATTTATGATGTTTTTTTTGTTAATCACTTTTGATTGTGACACCACTTTTGATTGGTAAACCTTCCAGAACTACCGATGTTTATAGATGATGTTTATGTCATGGGCATGCATGATATATGCACATCAATTTTTTTTGCAAATTATTATTATTATTATTATCTTTTTTTTTTTTTTTTTAACAATGGTTCAGCATGACCCGTGCTTTGATTCTATTTTTAATCTTATGTAATTGTTTTTGTAGGAACAAAGAAAATTTGTAGAGAAAATGATTGAATATATGAAATAAATAAGATGGATTGATGAATGGATAATGACTTATCGAACCAAAACTAAGGAAATTGCCACGAGAAATTAAATGGTCTAATTCACGTGATGCAAACAATGGCATATGATCTGTATTTTGTAAATGATGAATCTAAAATTTAATTTTTCATTATACCGATACCGATACGGGTTTATTTAGATTGCTATCTTACTGGTCATATGTTCATGTACTCAAATTAATGGTCTTGTGAACATATCACGTGATAGAATTCCATTATATGCGTAATAGGTAGATATAGCATATATGTAGTGGTTTTTTACCATTTTGATTTGATCATGTTTCATATTAATAACACAGACCAAAGTAATATTGCAGTAAATATGTTATAGGAAATGCATATGTTACAAAAAACTAGCCCTAAACTATGAATGTGAAATAGCCGCAGCATGCTAATAAGGGTTTTGTACGACGTGTATTCAAGAGAACCAAGTTACCTAAGTCATGGGACATATTTATATACGTGTCTTTTATGGAAATTAATCAATGACTAATGAAAACAAGAACTAGTTAAAATTTTACCAATGTTAAGACTCCGGACTAGAACCCAGAATATCAATTTTATGTATTTATTTATTTATTCCAATGGGATAAATTTAATATTTAATAACTGTCTTTTTTTTATTTATTTATTTTATTATTATTATTATTATTATTTTGACAGGAGCAAAACTCCGTTATCCGAATATTGTACTTTCTTGTTATGTTTGTTTGGTCATGCTTGAAGGTTATCCACCTATAGAACGTTGAATGATGAGACGTGAATCGAGTCGAAACGCTTAGCGTTTAAATCATCCACCTTGTGACCGTAAAATTTCTTTGTTCTTGGATACTTCGGTTAATCACGAGAATCACGAGACAGGGTTTAAGAATTTATAAATTGAACATGCCGTCATCCTCGTCTTCTGATAAACTTTATCAATCCGAGAAGTTTTTTAAGCTATTAAAAAAAATATATATATTTTTTTTATTAAGAATATTTAAGCACAATTATGACATTATATTCAAATAATTGGACGACAGTTTCGGAAGAGAATACGAAACCTTTTAACAAGGAAACGAAAAAGGTAATGCTATAATTAAATCCTGAAAATCAAAATATATTATTATTGCATTACATGAAATATAAACGTGGTTTTTTTTTTTCTTTAACAATATACATAGAAGGTAATATTAGCTCTATTTAAGATAGTGACGTCAATGAAATATAAAAATTTGTTAACACATGTACATACATATATATAGCGTCTTGCAATACGATTCACTACAGAGGTAACTTAATAATTAAAATTTAAATCCAAAGTATATAATGGTAAAGTAAATTTGATTTACGATTAAATTTTAATATATTTAGGAAGATGAAAAATTAGTAGATCTAGTAGCCAAATACGGACCTAAAAAATGGAAATTTATAGCAGCCTTAATGAAGACTAGAAATGCTAAGCAGTGCCGTGAAAGATGGGATAGTCATCTTAAACCTGGAAGTATGTTATTAATTTATTTATTACACATCAGATATCAGATTTCAAATATTTTATGGTCTTTAATATAAAAATAATGTATTTACAGTTCAAAAGGCTGGTAAGAATCCATTTACACCAGATGAAGAAGAGATAATTATGGAATCGTGTGATAAAGGAGAAAAATGGGCAAAAATTGCTTTAAAACTTGGTAACGGACGAACATCCAATGATATTAAAAACGCATATAACCAAAGACTTCGCCACAAGCATCAAAAATCCAGGATGTCTGTTCAATACATATTAAACAAATAACCTATCAACTATAGGAATCATTATAGGAATCGCTATAGAAACCACTATAGGAATCACTATAGGAATCACTATAGGAATCACTATAGGAATCATTAGGACTATAGGAATTTGATATGCTTGTTATATTCAAGCAATCAACAAGACAAAATCGCGACATTGTCGATCAATGTTCGATTCGCACTAGACAAAAAACGTTATAGAACAGTGTGTAATCTAGTTGTAAATTTAGGTTTCTCAACCTTGGTAAGGACTTTATGATACTTTCATAACCTAAGAGGGATTTATATTTACACGTGACTTGGTTACGAAAAATAGAAATGGAAATGTTTTGTCGTAATATAAGATAAAAATAATTTTGTATGGCATTACTTTTTTGTATTAATAAAGAGATTTGGCGATATTGTAACACATCTCACAACATAACGATAATAAAAAACGTATTATGTACTTACTTATTGTGTCATTCTTTTAAGCAATTATCAATTTGTTGGTAATGAATGAAAATATTTGGACCATTTTGCGTAACCTATGATTCAAATAAATTTGATTACAAGTATATAGTCCTGAGTATGAGTTTTTTTCGAATTAATGTAAATTTGATTTGATTCACCATTAAGAAATTCTTTTTCTGTATAATTCTTTTAGATTGATACGAAGCTTAGAAATTCCCAAAAATTAATTATTGATTTTTTTTTTAAAAAAAAAAATTTAGTGGGAATATTTATCATTTTATACGATATATATATATATATTAATAGTAAAGAAGCATATTTTTAGATGTCTGGAGCGAATCGGTTTACTTTTTTTTAATTATTTTGACATAAATCTATTCTTAAACACGTTTATAACAAGGTTACGTTGAAATTTTGTTGATGTTAATATTTAAATTTTAAGTTGGATCTTTACACATAATTCTGGTTCATATTGCAACTATTCAAATATGATATTTTCGCTCCAGGTAAAAAAATTTAATACTAGAACATGAAATTTTTTATCGTAACTTTGTTATAAACTTGTTTAAGAATAGATTTACGCTAAAAAGGTAAATCGATTCGCTCTAGATATCTAAAAACATACAAGTTATTTTTTACTATTAAAATATATATAAATAATCCCAATCACTACATATAGTTTTGATTTACATAGCTCCCAATGATATGTGGATAAATTTAATTACATATCATATGTCTCTGTAATAAATAATAAACTTAAATGCTTGGCTCGATATTTTCTCTTGGCGGCTAGAGATCATGAGACATGAGATCAACAATTTTTTTTTGGCATGACTAAACATGTTATTCCGATTCCTGCATGAAATTAGAATTTTTTTCAAAGAACCGAATAGATTAATTAATCATCTAAGTTCATTGATAATTATTGGAATTTCATACATGTACAATTTATTAATAATTAAAGAACAAATTGAAAAATATTTTTGAAACATATTCTAAATTTCTTCGTAAAAGAGTTAGCTAAAAAAGGAAATGGAAATGGTAAGCATTATGTGAGGTTACACCGCGAATTTTCACAATTCATTTTTGTAGAAAGGTGTTGCTCAAACGCAGATTGGACTTTAATAAACTTAATCAACGAGCTTGTATGTTGAAATATTGCTTTATGTGTTAAAGATGTTTGACATGACAATTTGCAGAAATTATTTACGAGTAATTTTTGATATAAAATCAAATACTATATATTCGAGTTTTATTAAACAAAGAAAAAAGAACTGTGTTTCAAAATTCTTTACATTTATCAAGAAAGTAATAAGAAAAAATGTGAAATGAGGAGGGTGAAAGTAGTTTCTTAAAAAGTAAATAATACGAACGATTTTTTTCTTGTTTTTTTTTTTTGTTGATACTATATACAATAACGTCACTTGTTGTAATGACTTTTTTTTCTTAAAAAAATGAACTCTTTTGTTTTGTTTATGTACACTTTGGTTATTATCCCAAATGAACAAGATCAAATCTAAATGTGTAATCGTGTCCTCATTCAAAAAATTTTTGGGTCGCAACTCTAGTTAAAATAACATGTCATTATCTTCGATGAACGATGACTTTGGATTCGACATCATGTTAAATACATTGTAATTTAGATTATGACGAATTGGTAAAGCTTGAGTGGTTAAAGTAGCGATTAGGATAGCAATAATAAGACTGACCAAGAAATTTGTAAAAGTCATTATTGTTCTTTTTTGAGGTAAAATTCGTCAGTTCCTGCCCAACCAAATTTTTAATTGAGATATAAAAAGGAAATAGTGACGTATAAATTTTATTGTGTTAAATACAAGTCACCAGGACTTTTATAAAAGTCAAACGTACACCCTTTCGTTGAAAGCCTGAAAGGTGAAGAAATTTCAGTAAAGACTCGGTGTATTTATAAAAGTGAATGAATTTGGCTATGTCAAATATGTCTATTCTTTATCGTAAATATATGACAGCATATGATTGGATATGATTGGTGTTCTTTTATTTCGAAACATGTTACATGGTATGCAAATATCCTGTTTTGTATTTATGCAACGTAACGGTAACGGTAAGGATAATCTTGTTTTCTAATTTCAGTAATTACCCATGAAAAAAGTAGAAAATGGAAAACATCACGGTTAATTCTATTCGAGTCTTCTCCATGATTATTACGTATTGCTATACCTGTATACTAACTACGTAGAAAACATAATCCCCAGATCGGTTTTTTTTTTATAGTAAACTTGTAACTATTATGAACCTACATGTCTAACTTGCATTGTACATAAAAAGTATCAAGTGGCAGCAATTAGCGCCATTGTGCAGCAGAATTATGATTGAATTCTTGGCAAACTTACGTCGTAAATAATTTGTGACACCAAGAAAATTTCAAGCACAAATTTAAAATACAAGCATAACTATGTATTTTCTTTATTACTTTTACAATTTACACGTACATCCCCCTTCCATCTATAACACCTAATGTACAGTAGATTATCCACAGTACTTTAAACCTTATCAAGGCTAATTTAACTTTCCCCCAAGTTAGTATTGGTCGTGTGTAAATCGGGTTTCTAATTATCTCAATTTCGTCGAAGAAATCGCCTTTTGCATACTAACAAACCAAATTACTTGCAAGATTTTGCTACGTATATTATCTATTAATTCTGATATTAACTTTTTAAGGATAAATGGCATGTAATTTGGTGCGAATAATTCCAGCCAATAGGAACTTGGGGAAAAGTAGCTAATTAGTTGGTTTCATAAGAATGAAAAAAAAAATTTCTCTTTTCTTTACCGTTATAATAGTGGTCAATTTTGCAGTTTTTAACTTTATATAATATTATTATGGATTTGTAAAAAAAAAAACAAATCGCGTTAAATTTAATTTAAATTTCAACGGATTGACAGACAGATCCATCTCCGATCTAAAAATAGTAGACTCGAGCTATTTTGAGTTATGGCCCAAATTAAGTTTAATTCGGGCTGTAGCTCAACATAACGCTATTTCGAGATTTTGCTATATTGATCGTTAGTGATACTGTAATATATTTATCTTGCCTGCATACTTTAGAGAAACATTTTCTAAATACGCATTTGAAAGGTTATAATAATAAGATAGCTGCGCGACGTTGTCACGCAAAACCAGGAACGAGAGACGTGAGGAGTATCGGTATTGCATTTAGTAAATATATAGGTTGTCGCACTTAATGATGTGTCGCGTACAGTACAGTACGCAAAAAAATTTTTAGAATATTCTAGATCAAATCATGAAAGTATCCCTATCTCAAAATTTTGATTATGAAACTGTCTTTCGCATTCTAACAAAAATTGTTCCTTGCACAATGTTGCATATAAATTATTTATAAATGCTACGTATTACGTATGCTATACACACTATCAGACGTCCGATTTAAAAATAGATACCTTTGAATTATTGAAATTAATTCCACGAAAATTTTATATTTATAAATAGAGTAAACCGGTATAACCACAAGCTTGTTTATTCAAATCAAGTGAAGCAGAAAATTTATATGATATAAATGATTTCAATAACGATAATACAGTCAGAACAGTAAACAAAAACAGGTAAAAACTAACTAGAGAAATTTAACATTATCGTTATAATAATCTAGAATAATCCTTTGATCACTAATTTGCATTTTTTTTTTTTATAATGTGTCAAGCCTCATAGAGTATAAATATAGAGATCTCAAGATGAGGTCTTGAGATTAGATCAACCAAACGGATAAAAAAGAGATACACCATACTCTACGTACTTTATACTCCGTTCTTGGTATATATTTATGGAAATCGCATAGTTCGAGCCAGGAACCCATAAAACTAATGTTAAGCGAGAATCGGTCCATCAATCCAAAAACTTAGATTTCAGATATATATGTTATTTTTTATATTTTTAAGATAATAAAATTAGCCCTATATCCTGTATGTAAATTCCAAGTATTTTTATTTAGAGGCCAGTGACCTGAAGAACCGACTTTTTTAAAAAAATTTTTTTTTAATAAAAATTTTATTTAAAAATTTTATTGATTTTCTTAATAATGATACGGTATACGAACGAATTCAGTATTTTTTATTGGGCGTAAAGGATGATCATCTCACAAAATTCAAAGCATTTTACATAAACTAGGGAATCCAAGTGTAGTGGTGAACTTTCTAATATTTATAAAAATATTCCCAATTATCAATTACAGTATTGTTAATTGGTTAACTGATGGGACGAAATCATATGATTAAATAAATTTTGATCCAATCATATGCAAGGTTTTAAATTTACTACGTATATTACGTAGCCTATATAGCTTGTGTATGAAATACGCATTATCTACTAGTAGGGTGAGTGGCACGAAGGTCACAGGCATGCCTAAAACTCAAATGGTTAATAGCATGCTATTTTATTTTAGGTTTTAAAGGGAGACATCTATGGTCTCATGATCTTTATTAAGACTTGTTTACTACTTTTTTTATAATTTCTTTTTCAACTTTATTTCAATGTTCACTATGCATTCCCAGTACTTTGAAAAAGTTTTTATAATTATATTATTTTTTTATAGTTTAGTTTTTTGAAAAATTTGATTTAAATAATTATCAAAAAATGTTTGATGATAATAACATATATTAATAATATAAATTTTACAAAAATTATTTAAAATCATTTTTAACTTTTTTTGTTAATATAAAGTTTTTTATTTTTTTTATTTTATACTTTCGAAAAATAATTTACTTTTTATATTATTTAATTTTCAGAATATATAGTTTTTTAAACTATTTATTTTGTTATAATATATAAATTTATCAACTTACCAGTTTCAAATATAATTATATAAACCTCATAAGTCGATATGCACTAATTAACACTTTCAGGTCTTAATCATAAAATTGCAAATTTGAGTTTAAAAGATGATAATAATTCTGTTAAGATCACAATTAAAAAAGATTTGCAAAAGATTTCCATTTAAAAGCAAAAACAAGATTCATACAAAAGGAATACAGTTATTAGCATAGGTATAAGATTAGAAACAATTAGATAAGATGTAATCTGTTAACAAATAACATTAACATTGAAAGAACCTGATTTGAAAACATTGAAATATATAGACAATCTGACTAGTAGATTATATAAAGTTAGAGAATTACAGACTGAAAAATGTAGTAGATCATATATCACAGAACCAGAAACCTAGGACATCATATGATGAACTTGATGAAGTATGAGTTATCTCACAAGTTCAGTGACATATAAGGACCACATGCTGTTTAATAATCTTTGCAAAATAATAACTCTGACCTTTAAGAGATGTGACAGATCTTAAAGGTGTCTAAGAACCTTCAGGATAGTGAAAGAAGGTGAAATATATATATATGTATGATCATATTTGTTACAAAGTTCATTGTTTACTTTATAATCTTGCTCATGATCTACGTTCACTCATTTTCTATTTAGAGCATCATTATTTTCTAATGTTGAACAAAATTTAAAACTAGCCCGTGTAGTGATTTGCTACATAGCCACGTATGTGTTCATCCATAGGTGTCCAACTTTATAATCAATTAATATTTTATTAAAGGAGTTATCCAAAGATTATACTATTATATATTCGGTATTTTATGTGAGAAATTCAGAATGTTTACCTCTATCTAACTTGCCCACCAATATTCAAATATTTCTTATAAGTAATGCATATTTCATACATAGTAAACTTAAATCTTGTATATTATTGAATCAAATTTATTTACAGGTTAAACAAATGCAAAAATCATGTTTTCGCTCATACAGACCATAAATTTAATTTATAGGATGAACTATACTTTGAAATAGATTGCTCAGGACAATTTGTGTTCGTCACTACACTTGGATCTTTAATATAAGTCTAGCAAACATACTACGTTCCTGGTTTAAGCGCGACTACGCCGCGCAGCTACACTAATTCATAATATATTAAATATATTATTTAATGTTTAATACGTAATAAATAGACATCCTGATTTGATTATGCTTTGATTTGCGAAGTCTCTGGTTATATGCGTTTTTAATATCATTAGATGTCCGTCCGTTACCGAGTTTTAAAGCAATTTTTGCCCATTTTTCCCCTTTAATGTACGACCTCCAGATTGTTTCTTCTTCATGTAATGTAAATGGTTTCTGATTAGCTTTATTAACTGCAAATACATCATTTTCATATTAAAGACTATAAAATATTTAATATATAATACGAAATATGTAATGAATAAATTAATAACATACTCCCAGGTTTAAGGTGACTATCCCACCTTTCACGGCACTGCTTAGCAGTTCTAGTCTCCATTAGACATGCTATATTATTCCATTTTTTAGCACCGTATCTTTCAATTAGTGTTATTAACTTTTTATCTTCCTACACATACATGTATATTAAAACATTATTGTGAATGAAACGTACTTTTGTATAAAGGTTGGAACCTGTTAGAAATTCAGAAATCGAATTTGATTGAATTTAAGTCTGGTTTTTTGTAATATAACAAATAAACTCGAGGTTAATTTTAAAACCAGGTTATTAGAGTTTACGACTGAATTAGAACTTTATTTACTATAAAACCATCTTGCTATTAAAAATCGATTACAATTAAAACCAGGTTAACTTGAATTTAAAGTCGAATTGAACAAACCAGTTCCAACCTCTACTTTTATATAATTTCAATTTAAATGTTATAATCTTACCTCTTCAGTGAATCGTTTTGTTAAACGCTGTATATGAGTGTGTATATTTAACAAATGTTTATGTTTCATATTATGTCACCATATTTGAAATTTAGATATAACATTACCATAGCTGAACGTTTTTGATTCTATATTATTATATCATTTTTTTGTTAAAAAAAGGTTAGATTTAATGTTCTATAATTCAGTTTATTTCAAGTATTTGAGTGCAGCAATACCTTATTCAAGAATGTTGTCATCATTAATAATTTAATAAGTGTTAATTTTTTTAATAGGACAAAAATCTTTTTCAGGTTAAAAGGTTATCATTTTATAACTTCAACTTCTAGATGTTTAAGTGTTGTACATATCAAGCTTGAAATGTTCAAGCGTGACTAAATAAACAATAAAAATAGTTTGACCGGAATGTTCATCCCGTTAATGATAATAATAATAATAATAATAATAATAATAATGAAGAGTTTTTAAATGTATAAAAAGTTACTAAATGTTGAATTCATGAGGAAAAAATATAATGAGCGGAGTTTTTGGCATTAATAAACGTTTTTCCTATTTTTAAAGATTGTTTATCTAACTCGAACATCTGATCATGTTTTCGAACATGTGATCAAAAGGCTAGCTGCAATTATAATGAAAGTTAAGGCTTTAGCTCTTCATTTACAAAATATGCCAAATATTTGAAATATTTGGAATCATGTGTAGCTGCACATAAAGTAGTTTGTTTTCAGTAATGACTACATATATTCCAGAAGCTTTACAAACTTCTATTGTTATTCGTACCGTACGCCACTGACTAAAGTACCCCGGGTACTATTCAATCAGCCATCAAATTTCTTGAATAGTACTCTCCCAGGTACTAATTACGGTGTGAGGATACTATAATAAGGGTACTTTACATAGTTTAATAGTAGTTCAATAAGGATTCACTATAAATATTATATATATCTGACTAGAATAATACCCGGGTCTTGTTCAATCTTCTGGATCATGAACCTATGAATTGTACGTGGGTATTTTTCACATGGGTATTATTATTTACTTGCTGGCAAAGCTATTGGGATTTAGGATTGGAATTTGGGATGAATTTTATTATATTTGGGATGGAATTTGGGACAATTTAATTTTATTTGGGATTTGGGTGGGATTTTGAGATTTTTAGTTTTGCCAGTATTATAAGCAGGGGTACTTTAGTCAGTGGCGTATGATAATCTTAACACCTGCCTGAACTATACATGCTGGCCAAATCTGGACAAATTAAACTCCTAAAAAATAATTAGTAATTATTTTTTAGGAGTTTGGAATTTGTTCAGATTTGTCAAGCAAGTATATGCCTGAACTATAGTTGGTAATAGAATTAATTTTATAAATTAATATGACAATGGCATGTGCTGTATTTTTGTTGTAATTCTTTTGTGTTATGATGCCATAATGTTAAAATACTATAATGCAGTTAATTTTAAAATACTTTCAAACCTAAAAGAATTTTACCAATTAGATATCTTTTTGTCATTATGTATTTGATGTTTGTAAAATAATACATATACAAATTGCATAATATTGTTGTGTTTTATATAAAACAAATAGTAAAAATATTAATTTTAAAATTTAAAATTGATAACTAAATTCTCAAAATCATTTTAAAATTAATGATTAAATTTTAAATATATAGTTATTTTTGTATTAACTTGCTTTACTAAGCTTTAATCTTTAAGTTTATTATTTTTAATAGAGAACAGAATATTTATTAAAAATTTAAATATTTATATTTACATTAAAAAAATTAATTATTTTAATAAATTTATCTTTATTATTGATAATTATTTATTCAATTAATAAAAACAATATTTGTATATTTGATAATAGTAAAATTCACATATTAATATAAATAAAATTATTAAATATTTGTTAAAAATAGTAATATTTTAAATGTTATAAAAATTTAATTTTTTTTTAAACTTTAATAATGCTGCTAGTTTATTTATTAAGTCTTAAATTTTTATATATTTTTTATAAAATTAATTATTATTATTATTATATTAGCTATTTTAATTTTACTGCACTAACTTGACCTAGTTACCTATATAGTGCTTAAGTTTATATTTACTATATGCCTATATACAGTTATTATAACAACTACTTGCAATTAAAATGTATTATTAAACTGTTATACAGACAAGAATATCTTTAAACTTAATATAGTATTTTAATAACAAGAATACTGTTTTCTATAATTATATTTATATGTTTTAATTATATATTTATTTGGTTTTGTTTCTTCTAGTTTTCTAATCTAACTATATCTGTAATGCTATGTTTTTTATATTTCTTATTTTTTTGTTATTATACTACCTTAAAATTAGTTCTACTTAATTATGTTTAATCTTTATAATTTCTTATCTTTAATATATCTATTGATTTCTTTAAGATTTTTTAACAATAGTTCAAGATTTATAATAAACCTAAATCTTAGATTAGAGCTATTATTGTTATTAGTTTTTTAACTAATCTATATTTTAAATCAAATCTATTGTTATCATTCTTGCAGATATTTTAGATTTTAATATTATACAGTTATTTAGTATTATATCTTATATTAGTTAGTTGATTACAGTTTTGTTTATTACTAACTTCTATATAAGTATAATCAGAATCTAATTTATTGTTTCTTTTATATAAGAAAATTATATTAATTTTTGAAATTTTCTTTTTAAAATTAAATTATTTAGATTAATAAAAATGCTTTTAATTTTAATTAGATAAATCTTTTATTACAACCTATTTATATTTTTTAAATATTGAAAGTAAAGATTACAAACTATTTACATATTTATCACTTTTTTTATTATTTCAGTCTTAGTTATTTTTAAGTTAGTAGTCTTAGTTATTTTTAAGTTAGTTATTTAATCAAATTCTGCTTTTTAAATCCAAATTATAATTTATTTTACAATTTGATAATTATTTCTTCAAGCAAGTAACTTATAAGTTAAGTGTGAATATTAGTATTAGTTATTTAAAAAATATAAAAATATTAGTAATACTTTAATTTTAAAGACTTGTATATATAATTTTTTTATAACTCTAATTTTTTGTAATATTACTATTATGTATAGTATTTATACTTTATATTTAAATTTTTATTTAAAATTTATATATACTTGAACTTTACTATATGATTTTGTATTTAATTAATATCTTCAATAGATTATAAAGAAATTTTAACTTTAATTTAAATTAAATTATTGATCTTTTTTGTAAAGAGTTTAAAACCTTATTTGTTAAGCTATAAAACTTAACTTCTTTATAAAAACTTATTAACTTTAATAATATTTTTTAATTAAAAATTTTAAAATTAATATTAATTTAAGATTTGCAAATTTGGTATTTTTCTAATTTTATATTAATTATAAAAAATAAAATATTTTATTAGTATTTTTATTTTTAATTAATTTTAATAAATTAAAATAATATATTATTACAATAGTATTTTATACTGATATAAGCTAATTTACTTAGTTATTTTTTTTATATTTAATTAAGTACTTATAATTTAAAAATTTATTAATAGTATATTTTAGCCAATATCAATTTTTTATAATATTTATAAAAAATAACTATAAAAAGAGTATACATTTAGCCAATTATACAATTTTAGTTATTGTTTAATTTAAGTAATTTATTTAAAGATTTTATACTAGTTATCATATCTGAAACTTATTTATAAGTTTTCTATTTAAATATTTTAATTTTTATATTTATTTATTTACTTACTTATTTTACTAATTGTTTTAGTTACTACTGATACAAATATGCTATAGTTACTAAATTTTTAAAGCAATTTATTTATATAATAAATCTTTAACTTTATACTAAATTTACTAAAACCTTTGTATTTTAATTTATAGCTAATCTGATATTATTATAATTAAGATTAATACTTGCAATTAGGACTATTTATTAAATAATTATATTTTACAGTTATATACTTTTAGTACTTTTTTTACAATTTTACTGATACTTTGTATACTTTTATAAGTTTTTTTATATTACCAATTTAGTTAGTTTTATATAATATAACTTTATATTTAAATTAACTAATAACCAAATTGGTAAATTTTTTTTATTTAAAAATTCTTATTTATACAGATTATTTGTCTTAAAAATTCTATTATAAAGTTTTACAATTTGATTTGATCAAATATTTGAGTTCAGATCAAATTCAAATCTGAAATTTTTAAATTAAATTAATTCAAATATAGTTAAATTTGATTTAATTTAAAAATTTATAATTAAACATTCAAAATTATAAGCTATTTATTTAAAATTTTATTAAAACATTCAATATTTTATTCTATAAAACTAAAAGTATTTTATTTAGAAGAACATTTTTACTTAAAAGCTTAAAATTAATTAACATAATAAATTTTTTATAAATTAAGTTTTTTTTTTATTGATCAAAATTTTAAATTTTTTTAAAAATCGAATCAAATTCAAATATTTGATTCAAATATTTAATCAAATTAAATTAAATCAAAGGCATATTTAATTTAACTAAATTCAAATTAACTTAATTTTAATTTAATTTAGATTTAAGAAACTCTATTGTATTATCTTTTTATCTAAGATTTTTAAACAAAGCTTTTATTCAATATATATTTTTCAGATTTATTTATATAATATTGATTATTTATTAAATCCAATAACCTACAAATTAACTTTTATAAAATGCAAGCAGTCATTTTTTTTTATATAAACAAAAAACAACTTAGATTAGACTATTATAGTCTTAGGTATAACAAGCATTTTGCATTTGTGTCATCATTTGAGTGATGAATAATTCATGCTTGCATTGTCATTTGAGTAATGCCAAATTTGAGTTCATGTTATCATTCGAGTGATATTCTCTAATTTAGGTTATGCTATATACATGTTAACAGATATGCTATCTGTCACTGAAAAATCTTTAGTAACAGCTTTGATAACAACTTTAATAATAAGTTTATTATTAAATTTTGGCTTTAAATTCTTTTTTATATTGTTCTTATATGCTGTCACTAAAGTCATTGAAAATAAAGTAAAATTTTAGGAAAAAAAAAAACTTTTTTTATAGTATACCTTTTTTTTTTTTTTTTTTTGTTGGTATTAAGGTGAGGCCTTGCTCATATTTTTATTAGTAATTTTAGTTATACATATTAATATACTATATACTAAAATATACTAAGATTGTAAACTACAAAATAAAAATTACATGTAAGAATTAAAGCTTAGACAGTTTTATCTGCGACCTAAACTGACTATGGTGGTCAAGGTCCACCTAGATTTGTAATGTTAAAATGTGATTGTAAGATGTGCTATGATTAATCCAGAGTGTCGACAATATATTGATTTTTCTAATAGCTTGTTCAATTGGTGGGCAGGTATTAGGATGTAAATGTAATTGATCTGCTATTCCATATAGACATGAGTATGTGTAGTTTATATGTGATCTTCTGTGATGTCTGGTTTGCTGTATTTGTTAAGAGTTATGATTGTTATTAGAGCTTAAGAGAGATGTAAAGTTATTATTTTTTTTTCAGTTAGAAAAGTCAATACAATAAGGTTTTCATATTTGATTATAGATTTGGTCATTAATGTCAAGAAGTATTTGAATAATAGTTTGTGAGACTATTTTGGTAGGTATGTTATAATTATGAATTGTTTCGATTAGAACTTTAGATATAAGGCCTTTGAGAGTAAGATCAAGGTAGAAAGAGTTTGCTTGAAATGGTCTTATAGTATACTTTTGATATATACTTGATATATATATTATATATCTACTGTTATAGAATGATTTATTATTATTTTATTATTACTTTATTATTATTATTAGTTATTATTATTATTATATTATTATTATTATTATTTAGTATTAGTTATTTCAATATTGTATTATTATTATTAGTAGAAGTTGCCAGAACATTCTAGTTAATTAGTAATCGCTTAGTCGCTTAGACGCTTAGTCGCTTAGTCACTTAGTAATTATTAGTCATTAGTTGCTAGAACCTTCTGGTTGCTTAGTAATCGCTTAGTTGCTTAGTTGCTTAGATGCTTAGTCACTTAATTGCTTAGTCACTTGGCCACTTAGCCACTTAGCTCACAGATATATAAACCCTGCTAAATTCCCCAAGTGCGATTAAGCAACAGACACCCCTCTTTCCTTTTATATTATAAACATATCTTGGGATTCTTTAGAAACAGAAACCTAAGGATAGCCCTTCTTGTTATTACTTTAATAAACAGTTTTTGACTATAAACTGTATTGATACTTCTCCTCTAAGATAATTTCTACAGGCAAGGTTTATCTCCTTCTAGTAAAATAAAATAAAGTTATTAGTATTGCATTACCTTTTCCGAACTGCCTCAGAGAAGAGTATAGTTTCTTGACAATGTCTAACAGAAGCTATACTTCCTTCTTAGACACTGCATATACTCGTAAGGGATTCCTTGTGCCGTGTCGTCGTTATAGTGTGAAAATTAAGAAGGCTTTTTTTACCTATAACAATAGGTTTCAACTAGTTTGATAATATCATTTTTAGCAAATTTAATTAAATAGTTATTAAGTTATTTAAATTTAAAAATTCAAAAAATTTTATTAAAATGATTTGTTTTTTTATATTAACTCACTCTATATGTTGTAAAATAAGTATTAAGATTAAGATAAACTTTATAAGGTCATAGTAGTTTAATAGCAAATTTTGATCACAAGTATTGATTTTGACAATAATGTTATTAGGTCAATTATAAGAATAGAATATAAAAGATTCTAAAAGGTTTAGTACAAAATTAAAAATTCCTTATATAAGTAAACTGTTTTAAAAACTTAGTAACTATAACATATTTTTACTAGTATCAATTGAGATTATAAATAAATATAGATAGACAAGTAGATATGAAAACTAGAATGTTTAAATAAGAAACTTATAAGCAGGTTTCAGATACAACAGTTAGTATAAAACTTTTGGGCAGACTATTTAAATTAGACAATAGCTAAAGTTGTACAAATAGTTAGTTGTATACTTTTTCTATAGTTGTCTTCTGTGATTGTAATGCAATTATTAGCTGAACATACTATTAATAAAATTCTGAATTACAAGTACTCACCTTAATATTTTTTTTAAAAAAAAAAAGTTCAAAAAAAATTTTTAAGAAGCAAAATTAATGATTATCAATCTCAAATTTGATCAATTGATTATTTAAAGTTGCTATAGAAACAGGTTATCAAGTTATTTTTGCCTAAAATTTATATTAATTTCTTTTTTTTTAAATAATTGAAATAAAAATCTAATTATATATTTTTAATTCAAATCAAAGATTTGTACAGTATCTGAAAATAGTCTTCTCAAAACTTGCTAATAAAAAATAATACTATTAATAAAGTATTTTTATACAAGAAATTTTGATTTATCAAATATATGTTTTTTTAATTCTTTTTTTATAATTGTTAACTTCTTACTCTGATTTGAGTAACTTTTAAAACCTTCTTAACAAAACTGATTGACTAAGAAAAATAGTAATTAAAAATTTACAAATTTATAAAGAAAACATTAAAAACTTAGAAATTTTCTCAGTATAATAAAAAAACTGTTAAAAACTGAGTTTTATAGTATTTTCAAAAACAAATAATGAATAATGAAATTTCATTAATAACTAACTTTTTAGAATGTATGCTAGTGAGTTGGGCCAGTGTTAATTTTTTTCATTAAAATTTACTGTCAACTTTCAATTATATTTGTGACAAATAAAAAACAATGCGTATACATAGTTATTATTTAACATTTTTTTTATATGTAAACACTAGATAATAATGCAATGTTTTCTCAAATTCTATTTAGACTAATCATTTACTGGATATCCCTTGTATCACGATATACTACGTGATTTCAGCCTTGTATTAAATATTTGTAAAGGTCTCAGACCTAAAATTAAATGCGACGTTCCTTAACTATTTTTAGACATAAATAAATGCTTAGATGCTGAACCACAAAACAGACCAACTGCTGAAAAATTGGCCAACATGCTGAATCGATTTTATAAAGATTTGAAAAATAAAAAAACAGTATTATATAAACAAGTTAAAAAAATTGAAAACTCAAGCAAAAATTCCTCAACATTTGACCAAGGAAAGTTAATACGAATTAATTGTCAGACGCATAAACAAGCTATTTATACAAGCTGGTGTTTAAATTTTCAAGACCTTCCAAAACCAGGTAATAAATATTTATTAACAAATGAAGAATGTATTAATATAACTATATAATAATATATTTCTAAACCTGTGAATATAGTAAATGAAGGTAATGATCTTGTTAAATTGTATTGTATTTAAAAGTTACTTTTTCTAAATATATTTATATATTTTTCAGTGAGTAAACCTATTGATCATTTCCAAATTTCCGATTCAATTTAATTTCGCTTATAATTATATCGATAATTTAAATAAGAGGTTGATCTATAATCTAAAAAGATAGTGTTAAAGGCTCCACAGATATTGATCATTCTAATTATTTATTCGGTCTTAGTTGTTATATTTACGTTTTAATTACTTCGATTGTAGATTCTAACAAAAAGATATTATTTTAATGTTGTAATTCATTTTTCTTCAAATTACATTTTTGTAATTAAATCTACCCTGCTTGTAGTTGGTTCACAACTATGCAATATATCGAAAACAGATGAAAGTTTATATCTTGATTTTAAATAAGCCAAAAGATTTTTCATAGAGCGCGTCGGGTTTACATAAGGAGAGCATCGTCCTATGTTGCAAATACAAAGTAAAATTTCCAATTATATACTTGGATTTTTTACTTTGTATTTTCAATGCAGGACGATGCTCTCCTTATGTAAACCCAGGTTACGCTCAACGCACTCCCGATGCACTTCCGACGCACTAAACAAGGCAGAGCAGCTGTTAAAATCGAAAAAAACCTGTGTTGCTTTTCATACGCATGTTCTTGAATGAATTTCGTAAAAATCTTAATTGATTTTAAAAAAAATTATATCTAAACATATATTGTATGTAAATAATACGAATCTTAATAGATTTACCAACTTTATCGAAATTCACTTTTTTTTTGACAAATTTGGATGCCCTTAGATGATTTGCACTATATATTAAAATAATCTATCCAACATACGTAAAAATGATGTTTTCACTTAATCATTTTTTTTCATAAAATTTAAAATCAATCAGATACCACCTTTATTATAAGTCAAATCCTGTAACTGAGGCAAGATATAATGATGAAAAGTTAATTTTATTGATTATTTAATATCGTCAGAACTAAATTATATTATTGCTGTATTGAAGCAAATATCCATGTACATAAACGATCCTTCAAAAATGTAATTCCATTAATGATGTCATGTTATTATTTATACTCAACGATTGTGTGGTAACTTGCAAGCAAATTGGTCTGTAGGCAGTCTAATAACATCACAATTACGAACCTACAGATTAACTTTGATTTAATTACGAAAAATTTACGTTATCTCAAATAAATTTTGTATATTTATGATGCAATTACTACAAAAACATTTCATTAAAAATATATTACTTGTAAAGTGGTATAAATAATATGAATATTCGTATTGTCACAAAGAAAATTTTTTTCAACCCACTTTTCAAACCATTTTACAAGACATATACATCAGTTAAAATGCCGAAAGATATTATTTCTGAAGTTCTTGAGGATCATAATGTCATAAAGGATCTTAATAGTAGATTTATGAAAGAGGCCAATCCCACTGAACAGCAAAAGATTGCCAATACTATTATAAGAGAAAGTGTGTATTGTTGTAAAATTTATTAGTGTTCCTTGAAGATAATCGTTTGGCCCTAATACAATATTGCAATATACTGATTTTAAATTAATCGATTTTCTCTTTTCCAATGTTCATTAATAAATAGTCGCTATTCACTCGAGCACTGAGGAAATTTGTGCGTATCCGTTGATCGAAAAGCATATTCAGGACGGCAAAAAAATCGCAGATAAATCTCGTGAAGAACACTTACAACTCAAAAAAGATTTATATGAACTTGATAAGAAGAAAATTAATGATGAAGGATACAAAGCTCTACTCGAAAAGATTATTGGGGTTCATTGATAATTATCTATGCATAAAGTATTTCGAATTTTGGTTACTAAATTCTTTTTGAAATTTAGGAATTTGAGAATCATATTAAAGATGAAGAAAATGAAATCTATCCAAAACTCAAAGCTAGTTTAACCGATAAAATATTGATGGAAGAAGGAGAAAAATATGAAAAAACTCGAAATACTGTTCCTACTCGGTAATTATTATTTTATTTACTTATTTATGTGAATAGAAAGTTAACTGGTTCTATATATTTATTAATCTTTTTTCTATTTATTATGGTTACTCTAGTCCACATCCATCCGCTCCTGATCAAGTACGTAAGAAAAGTTGTAGATTATTATTAATTTTGCAATGTTTATCTCACATGTTTTTTTATTGTTTCTATAGCCGCCTCTTGAAACTGCAGGTATATACTTGTTACCTCTTTTACTTGTTACTTCTTGTTACTTCTTGTTACCTTTTTTTTTTACTTGTTACTTTTATTTTATTTTGTCACTTTTTACTTTCTATTATTTTTTGTTACGTTTTTACCATCCACATCATTATTCACATCACTATTCTTGTTCCCAAATAGCTGGAATAGCACAAGCTCCAATTGATAAAGGCCTCGATAAATTGCGTGACTTTGTTGAAACCATTCGTGGAAAGATCTGAGTTGTTTTTTTTAAAAAATATCTTAATTCTATTAAATTTGGTGGGAATGCTAAATGCTCATATACTATAAAAATCCTAAACATTACAAATAAATCCAGTATTTGAAAAATTGTCAAATGATTGTTATCTTAAATGCGATTTTAGTTTTGTTACATCGACATGCTTTTTTAAAACCTGCATCCCTGCATTACATAGAAACCGAGTGTGATCAATATTTGGGGCTTATTTTGTCTATCATCAACATAAATAACTCAAAATTAACTATATTTTTATATAATCGTATAAAATGAATATATTCTTCAAAAATAAATATAAAAAATGAGTGTATTCTTTAAATCACTTTTTATTCAAATGAATTTTTAAAAATTATGGATTTAGAATTACTTTTAAATTTTTCTAAAAATTTTGCCAAATATTTAGAAAATCCAGACGAATATAATGTTATAATACGAATCGGAGAGGGTCCAAATGTAAAGACTTTTAAGGCACATTCATTCGTGCTAAAAGCACAATGTCCTTATTTTAAAGCCGGTTTATCAAGTGAATGGGTTAAAAAAGAAGGTGACCAGATCGTATTCGAAAAGCAGAATATATCTGCTGATGTTTTTGAAATTATATTAAAGTATATTTCAAATTTATTACTAAAATTTTATTGTTATAAAATGCTTCGTTTTTTTTTTTAATAATTATTATTTATTTATTTTTTTATTCCTATATATAATATAATATGTATAGGTATTTATACACCGGAACAGTTTCAATAGAGGATTGTTTTCCTTTAAAAATAATTGATCTTTTATGTGCCGCTGATGAACTAATCCTTCCCGAGATGATTTCTTATGTGGAAGAAAAATTCATTCTCAAACATAGTAAATGGTTATATGAAAATTTTGATAAAATTCTTCATACAGCATTTAAACATGATCTTTGGAAAAAACTTCAAGAATTTTGTTTAGATTATATATGCCCTGATCCTGATATAGTATTTCGATCAAGTTCTTTTCTTCAATCTGATGAATTAATTTTAGAAAATTTACTTCAACGTGATGATTTAATCATGAAAGAAATTACAATTTGGGATTTTCTTGTACAATGGGGATGTGGTCAAGCACCTTCACTCGGTGATAATGTTACGGAATGGTCTGATGAAAATTTTTTAATTTTAAAAGAAAGATTACATAAATGTATACCTCATATTAGATTATCTGCAATATCACCAGATGATTTTTACGCGAAGGTTAGACCATTTAAAAAAATTTTCCCTGAGGAATTATATGAAGAAGTTCTTTGGCAATATATTAAACCTAAAAATGCTCTTAAATTCGATTTAATTCATCCTCCACGATCAGACCCGGTAAATTCTTATATTATTAATCTTAAACATGTTGCAATGATTGCTAGTTGGGTGGATCGTAAACCTCAAGGCTACAGGTTAGCATCAATTCCATATGAGTTTAAATTGGTATTAAGAGGAACTCGTGATGGATTTACGTCTGCAGAATTTCATAAAAAATGTGATTACTATGAAAGAACAATCACAGTTTTAAAAGTAACAGGAACTAATGAGATAGTTGGTGGGTTTAATCCATTGAGTTGGAATGGATCAGGATGGAAATCTACTCAAGATAGTTTCATTTTTAGTTTTGATGGTCAGGATAAACCTATACTTAGTAGGGTTCGTTCGAATCATATTGATAATGCTATTTATATTTATCCAAGTTATGGTCCTCAATGGGGTCAAAATGATTTGAAAACTTGGGGAAGTTTTAATGCGGATTGTTGTCAGTGTTTACGTCAGAGATATGAATTTCCAATTAGGTCGAGTCCTGACGTGTTTTCAGCTGAGGAATTTGAGGTTTTTCATTTAGTTAAAAGGCAATAAATGTACAGTACAGTTTACAAATTATTTATATATTATGATTTTTAAAACTTTGGCAGCCTTGTCAACAACCTTTATTAAGATTATTGTGTACAAATTTTATACAAAGTTTGGCTTAAATTTTGGTTCGATATCCTTCGGCTACTTCTATGAGTGCTCAGAGGTGGTCTGCCGCACTGGTTGGGGCATGACCCGAATCCGGAGGACTATAGCAAGCTAGCCTAGGAGGCCATAGTAATTTATAATACTTTCATTTATTTATAAAATAATTTTTTTTTAATGTGTAATTTTACCAAAATAATTAAATTTAAATTGATTAGAATTACTTTTTCACTAGAATCATCTTTTCCTTTACCTTAAAATATATTTCTTTACGTTTTTCAATCTTAAAATTTTGAATTTATAAAATACTTTTATAACAAATAACCACCTTTTGAAATATCATCTAACTGTCCAAATAAGCTATTCTGTTATTTGCTATACTAAGAATATTAATTTACGCGATCTGTAGGTTATTATTGAAACCCTCAAATAAATATTTAGACTAGTTAATAGAGAAATTGACATAACTAGGTTTTAATATAATCATTAGTAATATGGGTATTAAATGATAATTAAATAAATGTGCATAAACATTTTATCAAATATTTATAAGTTGAAAGTTGGAATTTAGGTTCGTTTTTCGCGTTAAAGGCTTTATAAAATAATTTTGGTTAAAAAAAAAAGTTTTTTACACGCTTTTCAATGATAGTATGTGATAAGTTAATCGATGAGTTTCTACTAGATCGCAGGAGATGTCGTGAATAGGACTGTAACATCAGTTCCTAAGGAATATGAATACAACGAATAGTGAATGAAGTCTCATGATCTATTATGTTTGTTATTCCTACTGTAATGAAAATGTATATTAGAATAGTTCTACAACCAAAATTATGTCTACAAAACGATACTAAAATTATTAATTAAATCCTAAGATCACGTGTACACCAAGGAACAGACCCGTGACAAATGTATTTATTTTGAGATAAAGATTTATGGAAAATTGTTCTTCATAGGTGTAATTCTTGAACTGTACATTGCAACCTAGGAAAAAGTCAGGCTGTAGTCACCATTGCGTCATTGTTACTCTTATTCAATGACCGAGAACGCGACAAATATACAATAAAATAAATTTGGATTTATTGTATGCTTCATTAGTATTTGGATAAAATAAATTGGGATTAATTGTATACTTTAGTATATTTGAGTGAAACCAAGTGAAAACCAAACTTCGGGATTTCATGTTTATTGTTTATTATTTACCGGACTTAACCTTGACTTGCAATATATATTAATCACAGTGTTGTCACTTGGCTGTTTGGCCAACCAATGGCTATATTTTAAAAAATGTTATTGCCAAATATTTGTACGTATAGAAAAGCTAGTGATAAGATTGGTTAATATTATATAAGTTAAAAAGGACCGAAGTTTGGCTATTTGGTCAAAACAAAAAAAAAAAATGCCAACACTAATTAATTAATCATCGTTACTCAAAATTAAATTTAGGGAATTACTATTTCTACCATGGTAATTTCTATTTCCATCATGGTGGCTAAACGTTACGTACAGTACAAACCTGCTTACCTTAATTTAAATCCTAATTCTAGTCATGATCCACATACCTATAGTGGAAATAGTCCTTAAATTTATTTACGTTTAGGAAAATCATCGTTTGGCACTTGCTTTCAAATAGAGATTTTCCTAGTTCATTTCACACATGTCTCTGATCGGACCAAGTCCGGTAAATAATAAATAATGGCATCATTCGTTTGAAATTGTGCGAGGGTTTCAGACTACACCATTTCTAGATATATTATGAAACGTTCGGGAGTACCCGACCACCGAATTTATTATAATCAATCTTATAACTATTGTTGGTATGGCACTTTATTTTACTTTTACATCAGTGCCAGGTATAATCAGTGATAAGACTATGGGATTAAAAAAAATGGTTATACTTAATTGTCACATTTGATAATTCTGTAATTTATTAGATCACGTCGTATGAAATTTTATTTTTAGCACCTCTAGTCCCATTAAACCTTGGGTAATTATTTTTGAACCCAGACTAAAATGTTATTATACCATATATAAAATTTGTCCGGGTTCAAGAATAATTACCCATATAGTAATTGTAATCCAAATGGAAATATTTGCCATATATACGAAACTTATGTAATCGAATCGTCTGAGATGTTTATTTGGGATTTATATTACGTCATTAATTTTGTATTGACACGCGCGAATCATATTAACCTGAAACAACTATTTGTTCAGCAGAACTTCCCACCAATATCACGCATTTTATCTTTAGTAATATCAGAAGTGGTTCTGGTATATCGGTAATACTCTTATTAATCAAATTATTTTAAGCAATAACGTAGAAACCAAATAAATGACGACTTATAATTTTGATGGATTTTTCTTGTTCTGAGATTCCTTTATTAAATTAGTTTCTATTTTCTTTTATGCATATGCAGTTAAATATTGTAACCTGAAATGTAACTTTATTCATTACATATTTTATTATATTATGATAAAACAACAACATTCTTAATTTTGCCATGTAGGGACTGGTGTGATTGTAATCGATTTGGTATTAGCCGATAAAATCGACTTAGGTTCTTTTCAAGTAATTTCTCGATTTTTGGCCAATCAGCAAGCAGGATCAGGTGTAACGTGACAATCAAAACAACAATCGCTTTTTTTTTAGTCACAAAATCTTCTAAGAAATCACCTTTTGCGTATTAACAAAAAAAATTCCTTGCAAATTTTGGTATAATGCCACTCACTAATCCAAACCAAAAACCTGAGATGTTACTTTTAAACGGAATGTGACATGTAAATTGGTACGAATAATTCCAACTAGTGTTTCTAGTTGGTAAAAATTTAGCCAATCAACTAGTTGCAACTAATCAACTTTTATATCGTGTAACTAAATTTGTTAATTAGCCAATCAAATCAAAGAAATTAGCATGAGTTAGCTCAAACAGACAGAATATTTTATAATTAAACTATTTAATAATTAAGTTGTTTAGTTGTTTTTAAAATTTTTTAAATCAACTAGTTAAAAAGTTGTCAACTAACTGATTTTTCAACTAATATTTTGGATTACTAATCCTAACTGATTGAAACTATGAAAAAGAAATTAGAAATACATTTGTAATTATAAAGATGTTGTTTAATTATTTCATTTATAGTTATTTTTTTTTTGATATTAAGGTGACCTTTTTGGTCTTTTGACTTTTATTAATAATTTTTTTAGTAATATAATTCTGTGAACTATTACAAAAGAGCATACAATTGATTATATATATAATTTTTTTATATTATTTATTCAAAAAGTATACTCAAAGATTTTTTACCAATTACTATATGTAATATCTCTGTTTAGATGTTCTACTTTAAACTTTCTAAATCTGTAATTTGTATTAACTGAATCATACTCAGATGTTCAGATCATTATTTCAATTTTAGAATTATTTTATCTTCAAAGTAAACTTCTTGAAGTCTTTTTTATATCTATTTTTATAGTTAATCTAATATTACTATAGCAAAATCAACACTTGTAATTAGAGTTAACTATTAAACTGCTGTCTTTGTAAAGTTTATACAGACTCAGCATCTACTTTACAGTATATTTCTAGTACTTTAGTATATTTTTGTCTTTTTATTAGACTCTTAATCTAAATAATTTATATAAAATTATAACTAATCTATTAGTATATTAAGTTAGTCTAATATTCTTTTTTTTTAGTTTATTCTAATAGCTTGATTGGTACTATCTTTAAAACTCTTCAACTCAGAGGTTCTTGTTTGTTCAATACTACAAACTTAGTACCTGTTTCTAATAGTTTAGTTTTTATAATAATACTGTTAAAAATTTAGTTATCTCTTTATTTAAGTCTTTTTAAATAAACTTATTGTTATTTAATTTTAATGAATTTATATAGTCATAAGAATTTATCTAGTATTTGCACTACTTAATTGTCAGTTTGTATTTTTCTGTATCTTATGACCTACTAATTATATTGGTATAATTACTATTACAAATATTCTAACCTAATCATTAGTAATAGTTATTATAATATAAATATTACATAAATGATTATTCAAAATTTTGTTGTCAATAAGATTTGAACATTCAACTTACCACTTAGAAGATTAATAACCTAACCATTTTATTAGGTTACTATACTCCTTTTAGTTAACTTTTTATATAATTACTTTTTATATAATTATATTATAATATATTATATTTATAAACTACTACAAGAAGAATATATAACTAGTTATATGTATAACTTTTTATATTATTTGTTTAAAAAGTTTATCTAAAGATTTTTTATTCATTGCTATACTTAACATCTTTGCTTAAGTGTTCTATTTTAAATCTTCTAAATTTGCAACTTATATTAATATTACTAGGTCATACTTAAGTTATCATCTTAATTTTAAAATTATTTTATCTATAAAATAAATTTTTTAAAGTTTTTTATATTTATTTTTACAACTAACCTAATATATATTATTATAATAAAATCAATATTTGCAGTTGGAATTAGTCATTAAATTACTATATTTTTGTAAAGTTTACTCAAACTTTAGTATCTACTTCACAGCATATTTTTAGTACTTTAGTATATTCTTATCTATTTTTTAAATTTTTAATTCAAATAATCTATATAGATCTATTACTAGTTTATTAATATATTGAATTAGCTTAATTTTTTTTTTAGTTCATTTTAGCAGTCTAGTTGGTAGTACCTTCTACTTAGAAGTTCTTGCTTATCTAAGTATTTTAAAATTAGTATTCATTTCTAATGATTTAATCTTTACAATAGTACTATCAAAAATTTATATTACTTTTTTATTCAGTTTTTTCCAAATAGACTTTTTGTTTCTTAATTTCAATGAATTTATTACTTATCTAAAGTTTATATTACTTAATATTAGGTTGCATT